GGGAGGGGGCGGGAATGGGGGGAAGCGTCCGAACTGCATTGCGATTCCGCAGTGGAAACATCGCATGTTGTTTCCGCTCTTGTACACTTGAACTGCACATGCAAGAACAAGGTGGAATGTCGAAACACCATAATCAGCTCAGGGTATTTGCCAATCCGAAATAAAGTGGGATGGGAGGCGTGTCCTTCAGAACAAGGGTACAAATGCCCCTTTCGCTGCAGCGTGCGTGTACGTGTGGGTGTGTGAGTATGTTTGGGACGGGGGAGGGCGGGAGGGTACCGGGAAGGGTTTGAACGGCAACATTTTGACTTTATTTTTTTTTTCCTTAATTTATTCTTTTAGAATGTGACAATTTCATGAACAGCCACACTGGGGAGGAAACTGTAACAAGTTGCTACAGATGCCTTAAACTATGCACAAAGCTAAGTGACCAAATTTGTTTTTGATTTGAAGAAAAAAGAATAAAAAAAAAAAGTGCATTGTTTACGTATTCCTCCCTCTACTGAAACATTACCCACTAATGGGGTTTTGATGGGAAAAGGAGAAAACGTTTTGTAGGACAAAATTAAAGGACTAATTTTAAACTTAGAACATTCCATTTTTGTAATTTGTTTTACATTGTTTTAAGTACAGTAAGCACAACTGTAATCTAGTTTGAGAAACTGGTGCTTTCTTTTAGTTCATTTGTATTTCCCTGTTATTATTGTAAAAGACTGTTTATTAATTCTGTTTACAGTTTGTTGCAACAGCCATTTTTGGGAGAGAGCTTCAGCGTAAAGCCATTTGTAAAGGCTTTGCCATATTCATTTTAATATGTGCCTGTTGCTGTTAACTTTTAATTAATAAAAACAAATCTTTTTTCACGTTACGCTCCTGTACATTTAAGTTACGACCGAGTCCAGCATTATGGAAAGATAGCTAAGGTTGCAGTCAGCTTCCACTGTAAAACTAAGCCAACTTTTCGATTTGGAAAACTAGTCCTCGTATGCCAAAACTTACTGCTTGGCCTTTTACTGTTTGAAAAGCAAATCCTGACTTACCTGGTTGTTTCCCTTCTAAAGTTGAGTTGTTTATTCTTCTTTGATGTTCCCTGAAAGCAGTATCACTAATCTCAAAGTGGCCATGTTAAAGGAAATAAATTTATAATGAAACCGTTTCTTTGAACCTGCGTGAGCCTCCTTCCTTTGCTGTCAGCGCCAGTTCTTGCCATTGTCGGTCTCAGCCGAGAAGAATCGAATGGGATGAGGAGCTGTGGTGGTAACCTGCAGTATCGGAAAGGCTGTATTTGAACAGGTTGTCTTTGGAAGGGCGATGCTTGCCAGGGTGTTTGGAGCTGTCGGGACAAGGAGGTAATGGCTGTGTGTGAGTGACTTACTACAGACGGCAGCTCAGCTTCCTTACAGCCTCCATGGATTCACAGGGTTAGCTGTGGAGAAGTATTGATTCCTCTCTGATGCTTTTTAATAATGCCTATTCCAAGTCTGCAGCTGTTTTCAAAAGAACCACAGAAATCAGTATCTGATGATGTCTTCTGTGACTCGGGTATTTATTTTGTTTTAATGTGGCTTGGTTTAAAGACGGGGCCTCAACAGCAATATAAATGCCCCTGTGGGTCTACAAAGGTGTCATGGGATGAGGCCAGGTCCCCACCATAACCGCTTTTAATCCACAGATCAGCTCCTGGAGGCCCAGGGTGTTTGCTCACACACATGGCCAGATGCAAACTGGCCCTGGGTTCTGTCCAAGGTCTCTGCCCAGCGTGTGTGAACATCCAGTGTTTGAGCCCTTCTGCTTGAGACGCTTTTCTGTGGGCAGTGGCACTGTGCATGTAAAGGACTTCAAGTAGAAAGATACAAATTAAGGTACAGAAAAGTATGGAATAAATTATTTGATGGCAGCTTTGTTATTTTTTCCTTGTGCAGATGACATTGCTTTTGCTGTAATTTTACATCACAAATAAAGCTTGCCATGTTTTTTTGTATTTTTGAGGTGCTGGATACCTGCACCTCACATCAGCAGTTCAAACTGTAAATGTTTAGTATGGTTTTTTTCCCCCCCGTTTTAGCCTAGTTTAATAGGTCAAGTGATGTCCTGAATTTTACAGCTAATATAATTCAGTCCAGTGAAGTAATTATTGCCAATGTTAGAGTTCGAATGCAGTAGGTTGAGATACTTACAACAGGTTTTGCCTCTCTGAAGGATGACAAGGACTTCAGCAGGTTTTCTGGGCCAGCTGTTCTGAAGCTGCGTACCAGGGGATGGAGAGATGGTTGAACCTTGCTAAGCTTGTGGTGAGGCATAAACTAACTTGTTCCTGATAAGTTATTTTTTTTAATCTGAGTGTAACTGAGTTCAGTGCTACAACTCATTCATTCTCTTGACTCCTGCCGTATGGCAAGGTAAGTACTCCAGTCCTGAAGGAGATACAGGTTGTCACTGCATTAATTTATAGTCTCTATAACAAATGTAAACTGTACATTATTGTGGCTGCTAGAGTTTGTAGGGCACCACAAATCACACCCACAATGTTTATTTTAACTGCTTTTAATTTTATATTGGCAATAGAGCATTAAATACAAAACTTGAAACCAAAATTAACTTTCAAAAAGGTGTTTTAAAGGCATTTAAAAGAACACAAAGGTTTAATGGCCCATCAGTAAGACTGATGGCAGTGTTTTGAAGAAGTTCCACTTGTGTACGTATTAACACCATTTCAAGTTTACACCAGAAAACATCCTCCTCCATCCTACAATCTCCATTCCAGTTGTAAGCAGCAAAGCGTCTGTCATCCTCCGTAACCCTGCTAGAGCCATTCAGCTGTCTTTAAGAAGTGCTGCTTTTTCTTTTCCTAGGAGACAGAAGCTCAAGAGGCACTTGTACTGTTCCAGCAGCCACAGCAACTTGGAACACCAAAATACCCAGACTCTGCTTTTTCTACGCTCATCTATAGCCAGAGCAAACCTTGGCTTCATTTAACTGTGCAATAAAGTTGTGGCTCTCTGGTTCCTAAATGGCTTTTTTCAACCTCAGTTTTATCTTCAGCTTGTCCCCTTGGCTGGGGACATGAGCTCTGGGGGTTGGTAAATGAACCAGGTCTGTACAGATCTGGCAGCAAAGAGCTGCCCTGGGAGGACCCCAAAAGGGCATCCCCTGAAAAGCAGGTTCTGTTCTTGTCCCATCTCTGCTTTGCAAGCAGGACCACAAGGGCTTGTGCAGACCCCATCTGCTGGATCTATTATCCCCCAGCTGGGGATTAAAGGTGTCCATGAGGATTTCTCTCTTCACACAGCTGAGATGAGCACTATGCTTTTGGCAGCTTGCACCCCACAGTACTTTGTACATTTTTTTTCTTAGCTATACCACTTCTACACTAGTTAACACATAACTCTGACATCAGTTGTCTCACTGCTGCTACCCCTACTGGTTACCTCAGATGAACTGGACTACCTATGCACAGGGGCTCTCACAGCATGATTTACTCACTTGTCATGCACTCTTTGCATTGGCCACAGGATGAAACTGGTAGGTTTTGCTCTCCTACTCTTGCAAGCTCACAACTCAACCACGCTGCATATAATGTGGTACTACTTAAAGTGTCTTATACCAGATGACCTCTGCAGCAGCTTTAAGTTTTCACTTCATTTAGTAGGAAGCGGAATGTATTCAAGTTTTCTCTGGGTTAAAAGTTTGCTAAAACTTAAGTTTAAAAGAAAGACTTTGACAAAAAACCAGTATCAAACTAAACGTAGTGCAAGTTAGAGCTCAGATGATGGATATTAACTTAAGGGTGTATCACTATCATTGCTAACATGTATACATTTTTAAGGTGGTCAGTTATGCACAAAGAACGGTGTATAGATAACTTAGTGTTAATGAATTAAAACCACCACTTAAGTCTGAGTAAAATGCCAGGTTTGAATACAAAATTAATACCTGAGTATAACAGTCAAATTTATTCCCCTTGATATATTACATACAAACATGTTTAGTGCCTCAGTTCTACCTGTCACAGTAGGTTTTCCCTGTGTTGTGAGAGGCCACTCAGTACTGGTACTACTTGCAACATAAAAGATTTCAGACAAAACAGCTGAACAGTCTTTCATGTAGTGATCTTTAATACATTAAGATTTTTCAATTAATGTCTTCATCTTCCCTGTAGACTTCAGCATGTGCGGTCCAAACTGAGAAGGAAACCAGAAACACATCAGGTTGCTTTAAACAGAAACCTACTTAAATCGTTACCCATCCAAGTTGGAGGTCAAACTAGAATTTGGGCAGAGACAGCTTCTTTTATTAATACCTGCTTCATCACAGGTGGACTTCACCCACTCCACAGCCACAAAGTGAAGGGAAACTCGTGTCAGCAATCACTGAAATGGCTCAGATGAGGCAGCACCATCTGCTGAAGCAGCTCTGAGTAGAGAGAGTTTGCTCTACCCCAGCAAAATTAGCAGGCAGATGCAGTTGTCTTTAGAAGTTGACAACCAATTTGCTCTGGTGGGAGTTTAACAGCATTTCTATTCTGTCCTGCATTTTTGTGCAAGTCCTTTTAAAAACTCTCGTACAAGAATGTCATACATGGGCTGATCTAGCAAAGAAGCTACTTACTAATAAGTAACTGAAGACAGATGTTTATTAGCTCATTACAGATCAACATCCTGTCATTTAACAAATTAAATCCTTCCAATTTCTTAGCTTTTGAGAACTTTATGATCCTTAATCTCAGAAGATGGACTGTAAATTTCAAAATTGGAACACCATAAAAAACCCATGTGTGAATAAAACTGTGCCAACTCATGTTTTTCCTTAAAGCCCCATAGATGCTGGGGGGGATGGAGGGGAAGTGATTGATTCTGGAGGAGCATCTAGCCTTTCAGTTATGAAAAACAGCCTGAACATCACAGGCATATACCTTAAAAGCCTAAACCAAACCCAAGTCAGCCAGCATGAATAAGCTGAACTACTTGGAAGTTGTAAGGTTTGTGGCTTGGGGATCTTACTTTCCTCAGAAATCAATTCAGACCACAGCCAGCTCTTCTGGAGTTCTCACGTGCATTTTTCAAAATACAAAAGGGAAAAATAACTCCTGGTTCTATAGCACAAGGCTTCAAGGACTGCTAACAAAACTGACCTATACTTGCCTGTTTTTTAAGTACCTGTATATTGCTAGAAACTTGCATCTTGAACATTCACTGCTTAAAACCCCCTTACTTTAATTTCAAATCAATCTGAAATAAACTAAAAGCCGTTAACTTGTACCACAATGGGGATTTCAAATATAATTTCATTTTAACATTCTCATACTATAAAGAAACTGCTTTTATTTACTCAGCATTTCCAATTATTAGAAGAAACTCCCTATACCAAGATTGGGCAGGTATTCTGAACAATTTTCTTTCTGCATTTCTAGGAATGGCGGACATGGTTCAGGACCCTGCTTCAAAATTTCATGAATGGCCAAGGTTGGTAGCAGCAGGCAAACTCTTCAGATTTGATCCTTGTATAAACCCTTAGGAATTGAGTTTTCAGATTATCGCATGCTTGTGGCAACAGAGAACCATTTTGTTTAAAAAAACAAGTTAGAAAAATATAACAGAGCTTATTAAACCTAGGGCCAGAAGAATACACAATCTTAAGACTTAATACTAAAAACACATATAAGTCCTGGCATATCAGCAGTACTTCATAGGGTTTTGTGTACAGGGATGCTAACTCGTAGGTATCGACACACATTGGCTTTCATGACAACTATGATCTAGTCCCAGCACACGTTCAGAGTTGCAATACTCACCAGCACTACCTCAGTCGTCGTCTTTGTCTCAGTCTTTGGAACCACTTTTTCTACTTCACTTTGGCTGTCGTTTCGGTATCGATACGCAAATTTCTTCTTGAGTGCTTCTGCTATCAATGCTGCGGGATCCGCAGGGTCAGCCACTTTAGATTTGGTACCTTCTGATGATCTAGAAGAGAACATGAGAAGCATTAACATAGCCCAGAACAAAGCTTTCAAAGTTGTGAATGCTTTTGCATTCTGTTTGTTGGATGTTACATCAGCATCTGTCTCACCTCGAAATACTTCTGGGTCATAAATAATTATAGCAAATGTTAATACGCTGATATTTATTTACATTTCTTACCTTTTCACTGAGCGTAGTTTCACACTGTTCATGTCTTTGAGGATTTCTAGCATGTTTGGTATTTCAGACTTCTTTGGCCCATTTTCTGTCAGACTCTGGTCAGAGTTTGTTTTTCTGTTTTTCCTCTCTCTAATGAGCTCAATCGCAGACTTGCTGGGCTGCAGACCTGGGGGAGGGAGCGGGGGTGGCAGAGGAGGCGGCGGCGGTGGAGGCGCGACAGGGACAGTCACTGAAGCAACTGGACTTGACCCAGCTACAAATAAAACGTGTTACACATCAGTCTACTTGTAAATCCCTTTATATCTCACACATTCCAACAATCACAAATAAGAATTTACCATACAAGATTTAAAAATGTACATTCCAGAGCTCAAGTAGTGCTTAAATTGAGCCCTCTGAGGTTAAAAACTTTTTTGGGCCAGTTAATCATACGTCTGAAGGCTGAGATTCTCAAGATAATCTTGATTTTGAGCTTCCTGAACTCTTCAGGTAAAAACTGATATTATAAACATAACAGCAGTAATAACTTGACAAACAAACAAATAAACCTCTGTTCAGATGCATCTTGAAATCAGCAGTCTCTATTCTGTGTACATGTAGGCATACAGCCAGTGTCATTACCATATTCTACCAGAAGAGGGAGGTAAAGATGATAAAATCAAATTTTAATTTCCTTAATAAATAGAGGTAAAGGGAAAAAGATGAAAAATGAGTTATTTCACAAAACCCTCACAATAATTACGATTCAAGAGTGAAAACACGTGATCCTTAAAACTACTGCATAGCTTTGATACGAAGAGTTAAGGAAAAACAAAAGTAACTGCTATCAGTCAGATAAAACTAAGAGCATCTGAAGAACCATAATATAATTTTATACATCAACATAGAAAAAAACCTTTATTTGCTAAGTGACCTCAGGAATGAGTGAAACAGAATGGCTGCCATCTCCAGTTGACAAGGGTCACATCCCACTAATATCTGGATATGGTGGACTTAGAACTGGAGGCACTCCAAGGTGAAGGAAAAATGAGAAAGAAACTCGGGGAAAGAGAATTATTCTGTTTACTACCAGATAGAGTGCACCACTTCTGGTTCCATCTGGACAATGTGTTTGATCCCAGAGATAGTTCCAGCAAATAATTCATCTCCTTTCCTGTAATTTATTTCATAAACTTGGGATGTATATTACACATTCCAAAAGCGTAATTAGCTTTTGTATATCCTGTATGATTATAATCTTGGATGATTACTTTGTGCTATCAGAGAGCTTATTTCATTATAGGATAGGAAGACTTAAGTGTTAGCAATTAAGTCACATTCTTTGAGCTTGGTTTACGCCAGCATGTTTATCATGAGCTTTGCTCTGAAAGCTGTTTAATACTTCTTCACTCATCCACAGGCTCAGAATTCTGGCAGATTTTCACATAAACACGAAGACTTTTCGAATACTAGAAAATACAGAAAATCTGGCAGGGCCCTTGTCTTCAGGACCTGTTCTGCATCCCTTGGTTAGGATGCTATGTCTGTCTATCAGACTAACCAAAACAATATGGAGAAGTGTTCAGTGTTGCAGTATCTCGCAAAAATGAATTAGCATGTTATTAACTGTAAAAGGGACAAATTCATTAACTATTTTATACTCAGAGTATGGCAAATTTAATACCTGCTGTCAGGTTCTGCTGTTCTTGCAAGATGACGATTTTGGCTATCTGTGCTCTTAAAGTGGCTAGCTCGTTTTCCAGAGCGCTGATCTTCTGCAAAGCTTCTTCGTTTGCAGTCACAGTGCTCCTGGATGCTAGTTCTTCTTCCGAGGGGTTTTGTAAAGACGTCTGCCTGCGTGAGGACCTTCCAGAATGATGCAGTTCACCTGAAAGAGGCTGGGCTGGTTCTGACCAAACTTCTGACCTGTAGCAAAAACATCACGAGATTCCTTTTTTAAAGGCTGTGCTGTAGATAAAAACTAAAGCACCGTTATGTACAAACCAGAAATGCAAGCTGAAGGCTTGACTTTAAATTTGGCTTTACACAAATCACATTATATAGCTTAAAGTACACAAGAGCATGACAAGCTCTTGTACTTCTCTAGCCAGCTTTTTGTGGAGTCCTTGATTTTGGGAGAAAAAAAGGAACACATTCCCCCTCACCTCCAATATATTTCTCTGCCTCATACCTGTTGTATTTTTTGTTTGAATTAAGATTTAATTTTTTTTTCCAAATGCTACCACTTCTCCTCATGGGCTGCAAATAGTCACTTGTATTTGATTCCTCTGAAGAAAAAGGAAGAGTTTCTTAGTTCCACAGCACATTTTTGTGCTTTTTAGACTTCTGAGTGGATAGTCCTCCGTTTTAGCAGTGTTGGAAGTGTAGAGTATGTGAAATAGCTTAGTGGCACAGAGGCTGCTTATCAGTAAATGGGAAAGA